AATAAGAGAAATTCAGCCGGTATTGACCTTGTCATTGACCTTCAATGTCTCTTTCCTCTCCCAGAAATAACATTTTGCAAAGAAGAAAAGTGAAAACAAATTTCAGTCTTATATCTTTTTGAAGGCAATCAGGATAAGTTTGTTGAATAAAACATGTGTTTATTGCATAATGGTTTGAAAGGAGTTAAATATTGACTATGAATATTAAACTAGGCTATTTCTTGGGATTAACAAAAAAATGCCAGGTTTTATTGTAAGTTTTTCGGTTGTTTTGAAAGAAGTGAAAAACATTCATTGATTGTATTCATCAAATTAGTTTTAAAAAAATCCGTGTAGCTTATTTAATTTCCTTTCTCTTTTTTTTAACAATATGTTACGGTAAAGACTGCTTTTGGAATCTCGATTTTATTTTAAATTTCAATATTGATTTTTTGACATACGGTTATTTTGAAAGAAGTAAAACGGTTCATTGTTTTTATTAATCAAATTAGATAAGTAAATATTCTTAACTTTTCTAACTTTAGATAAGTAAACTTTAACTTTTCTAACTTTAGATAAGTAAACTTTAACTTTTTAACTTTAGATAAGTAAACTTTAACTTTTTAACTTTAGATAAGTAAATAGGCTTTAGCTTAGTGCCAAATATAAAAATTTATTCTTATTCATAAAAACAACCTGTGTAAAATTATAATTTTCAACTATCATTCCGCCATGAAATCGCCCATATGATTTTAATAAGTATGGATTTATCATTTAAACTAAATTTTAAAAACTACCGAAACATCCTCCCTCTCTTATATTTTGAAGATTGCGAAATAATTTCAAGAAGGAATTCTTATTTTGATACCCTTTGAATGGAAGTATTAGTGCAAACAAATAAATAAAACTTTAATCCGAATCCAGTTGCTGCAGATAAAAGGAAAAATAATTTATTTTTTTTAATATGAACTTGAAAGAAAATATTAGTTTTTAGAATAGACGTACTGCATGAAAATACACGTTATCAGTGTTGAACTGGATAGAACATATTTTACAGTAATCTTTTTTTTCCTTTTTTTTTTAAACTTAGTGTTACGTTTTTTTCTTTATTTTATTTTTTGACCCAGTAGTATCATTTTAACACTACTTGCTATATATTTTAAAAATATTTTGCTTATCAATTTCTGAAATTTTATCTTGTTTTTATTTCTCAATCTTCATTTTTAAGGAAAATGGCACAGTGTTTTTGTTTATCTTGTTTTTATTTCTCAATCTTCATTTTTAAGGAAAATGGCACAGTGCTTTTGTTGCTTTATAACGTTTAGATTGATATTTTGTATGCAAATATATTTTAAGGTTACAAAACAATAAGTGTCTTTATTTCTCCATTTCAAAGCAGTTATTAAGTGTTTTAAAATTTCAAATGAAGAAAAAATAAAGCCAAGTTAAGAAAGCTATCTAATTACGAAGTAGATTTAAAAAAGCAACCTGAAAATATGACCCTTTTTTTAAAAAAAAAAAACTTTCGATTTTTTTTTTAATTATAAAAGCTCTTAACGATGTTTTTGTTGAAGGTCCCCGGAAATCTGGTTGATATTAATACCATATATCTCTTAAAAATGTTTTAAGTTTGCAGTTATGATAAAGGTTGTTGTAGAGTATTTATTTATTTATTTTCGTTCAATAATTATAGCGTTTAAAAATTGAATGAGACAATAAATATTTTGAACTAGTAGTTAGTTTATAAGTCATTTTAAAGAAGATAGAATGATGATTATAGAAAGATTAATATATGTCGTTTTTTAACCTTTCCCGTAAGGTTGTTGACTTTGAATTTGAGACGGGATTTGCATTATTCCAAGGTTACTTTCTTCACATGAGAATAAAGGGGCCATTCATAACATAACCTCTTTTGTGTTTTCACTACAGCGCGAGAACGCGAGAATCTCGCATATTTTTTTCTTTTCTCGCATTAAAAAATTATTACCGCCAGAAATTCGCGCATTCTATAAATCAATTTCAAAATTCGCGAATTTCTCGCATTTTCGAACAAAGCTTAGAATTACGCCATTTAGAATAAAATCCGTTTCACTTTTCTGCCTGTATCTTTCATTATTTTCAACATCTTCCCCGTTATCTATCTTCCCTATTTACCAGTATTGTTAAAAACCTTTTCGAACAACAGAACACAACCACAGAACCCCTTTCAGAACACATTTCTCTGCAACCACGTGTTTACCGTAGGTTAGGTTTCTTCATGTAAGACGTTCAAATTTTTAATGTGCTAATGTAAGAAGGACAAATTACCTTGTAAAGGCAAAATCTTCTATGATGATGCACCAGAAATATTCAATGCTTTAGAAAATAGAAGACGTTAGAAATGTATTATAATTAAAGAATTTTTTTTTCAAGAGTTTTTGTGTTTTTTTAGTTTTTAGAAATCTCACTTAAGTTTTCGAAATCTCACCCTGTTTTTGAGAAAGGGTGAGAAATTCTCGCCCATTTTTTTTCTATGATGAAAACACTGAGTAATAACTGTTGAGTAATTACTGTACTGAGTAATAACTCAGTAATGTAACACATTACTGAGTAATAACTGTTGAAAGTCTAAGCAAACCATTTTTTTTTCTTTTCCTGATTAGTTGAGTACGCAACATATAATACAACAGGAGTCAAACTATTTTGTGTTTATGTTACCAATAAAGTTTAAAAGTCGTTAATATGCAAATTACCCATCTAGGGTCATTCGTTTAAGTGCGGAATAATGAGTTTTGCGCAATGTGCACATGAACGGTTTCAACAATTGGTTTATCTCATCCTGTGAACTATAATCCCTGACCATATTATCAGACGCACTTTAAGATTCTATGCAAAATCTTAATTGTCAGGGGATACACTATACAGCTTTATTGTTTTTAAGCGGTGTGCACTTGTTTATTATTCGTGTATTAATTGATTAACAGTGTAAAGCAATGCGTTCAAAATAAATACAAATAGGAAGTATATAAAAAATCTTCTGAATAAAAACCCATTACATGTGTGTTTAAATATAAAAGTATTGCGTATAAACTCGTGCAAATCATGTCACTAACAAAAAAACTACAGTGTGTCGAATAATTTGATCTAATTGTTACAATATACTAATATTGTTATAATATACTAATATTGGTATAATTGTTATAATATACCTGATATAATAAATATTCTACATTTGTATAATATATCGTCTAATTTACCCAATCGTCGAATTTATATTAAATATTGTCTCATTTAACCCATTGATACACGAACGTAAACTAGTGCAAACCGGTTTCGGTCGCGTACAAACAATAAAGCTGTATAGTATCACCTGGTAGTTAAGATTTTATACAGACTATTATAGCGCGTCTAATAATTTAGCCAGGGTCTATATTTAACCCTTTGCTCTGTTACGGTATTTTATGATTTTGTTTTTAGTTTATTAGAAATTTACATTAAAGAGGAGTCCAAACTTTTGACTGCTCTTCTGCTATTGGAAACATATTTATTTAGATTTCGGCTACTGGTCCCCATATTTTAAGGGGCAAAAATCCAAGTCTGTCGAAAAAAGTGCCATGCTTATTCAGAGAAAATACGTTTTTGTGTCTGATTTCGCAACTTAAAAAAGTGCCTGCTCAAAATAATTAGCATATTTAAAGTGAATTCCTCCAATAATAAAGATTCAGTCCTAGTTCCTAAAAATTATTTAATCATTAGATCAAAAGTTATTCTGAGTTTTATTATTCGCCCTGTAGATTCTTAAAGAGCTTTTAATTATATGTCTGAACTAATGTTTATTATTGCTTCATTCGGCTCAGACGCTTAATTAAATTCTTTCCAGACACATTCTAAACAAGAAATCTTTCGAAACTACATACACAAGTGTATTAGAAATGTGGTTTATTAAAAATTGATGTACATAACTGCAAATTTTTTATTCAAACAATCTATGAAGAAACCTTTAAGATGAACAGAATTGATTTCTATTTTATTTTTGAAATAGGAATACAATTTAAACAATAAAAGTGCTTTTCTTACAATAGTTTTTTTTGTTTTTTTGTAGTGATCCAAAATACTAAATATAAATTGAAGAAATTCGATTGGATCCATTTTACGAAAACTGACATTTATTATGACAAGTATAGAAAACTTGTCATAATAAATGTCAATTTTGAATTAAAGATTTTGATTTATTTCGATTCAAGTGATGGGTTAGAGTCCCCTTGCCGTCAAGCTAACCGTGCAAGGTTCTCGTGGTTTTACTCTCCATGTAACGCAAATGCGGGTTAGTTTTATCAAAAAGTTCTCCACGAAGGAAAATTTCTCCCAATACTTGATCCAGGAGTTCCCTTGTCTTCTGGATTGGGTGTAAAAGACAAGGCTACCTAATTGAACAGTAGAGGTCGTAAACCCAAAAATTGGGTCAGCTGTTCAACTACGGTTATAAAATTATAAAAAAAGCACCTAATATGCAATTGTTCCTTAACATGCGACCCCCATATTGTTTCCGAAGGAAGAATTGTCCAAAAATTATCTTAAACATGCGTTTTGTTAAGACGGCAGTTAGAAAACGGAAGCCTTCAGTTGGCTGTAGTGCTAGCGCTGATGATGTTTGAAAAAATTTTCTTTCTTGAATTTTTTTTATTAAGTTAGTCATTGTAGTGTATTATTTTTCGTCAAAACGTTTTGTACTAGGTTATGTGCTTGGCCGTGATTCTGTGTGCTGTTTTATACTTTGCATATTCTTTTTTGTGACAAAATTGTATATTAATATCCATAATCCACGATTTACAGCTAACGTTCTTAATATATTTTGGTACTATCTTTGAATCCAATTCCTTTAAATAATTCACGCAATGAATACTTTTTCCCCCAAAGTACTCAATTATTTATTGGGATTCCCTGTTACGCAATGGCATAGGATCAAGCTTTCACTTTTCTCAACCAGTTTGACCATCAAGAATTAAATAATAAAAATAAATGTTGCTTCCGAAGGGTTTATATAAAAAAGGGTTGAGCGCAAAAGGATCGTTTATTTCACCTGCCGTTGACCCTGAACTTGGTGTACCACTATGTTGAAGATAATATCTATCGTTTTAGTACTACTTATATTCGGTTTATGTCAATCTTCCAACCATCAAGAGAATTTTAAAATATTCAAGAAAATACTGTGTGGTATGTAAAAATATCTCTTACATTTATTTAATATAGGATTATTATTACTTTTAAGGCTATAGTTGAATCCTAAAATTTGTGAAAAATCATCACTTTCTATCTTGTTGAACATTTTATATTAATTAAATTATATAATATAGCGTATTAATTATTAAAATCATAAGAATTTGTAAAACATTTGACACTATTAGCGTTACTTTGCTTTTTTATTGCAAAAACTTGTTATTGTGAGAGTTTTATGAAATGTTTCTAAAAACAAAAATTTTGCATCGAACTGAAAATTGAAATAGTTCCATGCGCTGTGATTTTGATGACTATTGTATGACTTTTTTGTCAAACTCTTCTAGAGTTTGTCAAAACACAAAACAAAACTTGTAGAGAAAAAGTTTCAAAATAAGGTGCCACTGCATATTTATAGTCATTATTTCAATGTTCCAAAACGTTCAAAGAGGGACGATTTTTTTTTTTTTTTTTTTTTTTGCCGAAATTTGATTTTTCTACTCTGTATGGAAATTAGTAGAAAAATGTGTAAATTTTTTCCCTACAATTTGAAGAGAAATTTAAATCGAGTTGAAATGAATAAATAATCTTTAAATGGAAAAATTTAGAGCAAAAAATTATTTAAATTTCGAAATAAGTATACAATTTCTTTGAAAATATTTTTGGTATCTTACTATACATAAAAATTAAATGATGGTGTCTCAGTTTTACATTGTAGTTCGCGCTTTTTTATTGACCGGAAGTTCCAGTTTTTCCTCATTCATTTCCCTATTATTTTGGTTGCCATCAGCATAAAATTAATCAAAATAATGAAGGTATTGTTTTTATATAAATATTTTTGTATCCTTAATTTAAAAAGGTCTGTAATTAAATTAATTAATTTAAAATTAAATTAGTTTAGTAATTAATTTAAAATACTTTTTCTCTGTACTGCTATTATTAAATACAAGAGTTTAAAACTACGAGAATCGTTTATTATTATTATTATTATAATGTAATTCTGCTTAACATTTTAAGATAAAGCTATTTAGAAAGGTGGTCTAATCTTATTAACCGTTTTACAATTATTATTTTTGTTCAAATAACATTAATATACTGAATTACAGTTAAAGAGATTTAGAACTTGACGATTAGCTTCAGACACAATGTGATACAAGCAAACTAGTATTTAATATATCTGCCCGTTTGGTAAACGAAAATATTTGAATACTATAATATTATAACAATGGAAATTTTATTTAAAAAAAAACAGCTGTTGTTATTGTTGTAGTTCATTTACGTCGCACTAGAGCTGCATAATGGGCTATTGGCGACGGTCTGGAAAACATCCCTGAGGATGATCCGAAGACATGCCATCGCAATTTTGATCCTCTGCAGGGGGATGGCACCCCCCTCTTCGGTAGCCCGACGACCTCCATTCAAAGTCGAGCCCTTTACGGTAGAACAGTTTAACGAGGACCCATACCGCACACTCTCGGTCCCTACGCAGACTGATCCAAGTGGTCCCCCACCCGCACACTGACCGCTGCTTCACTTCGGTGATCTGCTGGGAACTGTGTCTTAACGATCAGTCTACTGCGGGACGGTAAGCAAACAGAATTCCTTTTAGTACATATATGTTAAGTGAATAATTTTAACTTTAGTAGGAAACCCGTTTTTTTGTTGTAGACCAGAAACAACAATTATTACTGAGCAATCATTGGGGTTGATGAGCGGCATCGAACAGGGGGCTTAGCCCCCTTGCAATGATCTAACGTAACAGACATGGCTTTACTGTTTACTTTTTTTCTATTCTAACGTTAGATGATGAAAGACGGCTTTTTGCTTAAATGATTGTACTATTACCTTGCATTTGTTTTTGCACAATTTACTTTTTTTCGTAATTGTCAGTTGTTAGTACTATTCATCTTCTGAAAAGACTACGCAAATCTTTTTTTTAAATTGCTATTTTGGTCTAAAACGAGGTGGACTATAACTAAAATTGTGCTGTTTGTTATTTTAAGTATTATTATTTTTTTTAATATTTTATACCTGAGTTGGATGAAATGTATTTTATTGCAGTAAATTACATAACTGCCGTTTTTAACTTATTTTTTAATCGTTAAGATTCTTTTTAGATGACATTTAATTTCATGATAGTGCGTAGGAATTATTTATAGTTTTACGAAATAACAGTTTTAAAAAACTAATGTTAGGAATTCTATTTATTTATTTAAATTATTTATGTGGTAAAAATCATAACAAACTTTGTTAAACATGTATAAACATAGAAACGAATCTATGTTGTTACGACTTAAAATATAAAAAGAAGATTCGGCAGTTGTGCAATTATACTCTAAAATAGTAATAATGAATCAACTGCTCTGTAATAAATAATATTTCTTATCAAGATTCGTAATTGCTTGTTTTAACAGTTGATTATTAAAAGTTATTTTAGTGTTATTAAAATTACTTTCAATCATGATTGAAAGTGTCATCGCGAATTGTGATTTCTTATAACAGCGGTTTAAATCGCCTATTGTGATTGCGATTGAAATTTTAATCATCCTTTCAGATTTCTTTTAATTACATTTAAAGTTGTAATCGGGATAGATTCTAATTAATTACCCAATTGTGGAATGGATAAATTAAATTTGTTGGCAAAGACATAATTATTTCTTGTCTCCCTGGTGTTGTTCCACTACAATTAAATGAGTTAGGCTTGACGTCATCTTTTTTTGGCTCCAATAATTTACAACTAGGGGGGGGGGGAAGCGTTAAAATGAAATCTTTACATTCAAAAGAGTTGATGCCATTCTTTGAACCCTAATTATATAATTAATCCCCACATTCCACTTTGTCGGCACACATGCAAAATTCCACTTTCCAAACAACCTGTTTCTTTAACATTGTGAGTAGAAATTAAAGTAATTTTACATAATGAATATATTTCTAACTCAATATGATTCGAACTATCTAAATTGAATACTAATTCCATTGCCAACCTTTGCGCTTTAAGAGGAACGCTTTTTTTTAAAGTGATAATTAAATACAAATTCCTCCAACAACCAAAAACCACATTAAATGATGTTTCAATGTCTGTTTTAAGACTTTATAAATAAAGATGGACATTTCCGAAACAGCTCCTTGTGAGCCAAGGGCATCATGAAAGTTCTGTAGGAAGCTGGTACCTATCGATTTAAAGTCATGAGCTTCAAGACGATCCCCAGCGATGGCTTTCAAACGAATTCCGCATCCGGCTTGCTCCAACCACAGTGCTGACGGGAAATATGATCAGTGGTAGACGGATCATGGGTCAGAGTCCCTTTGCCGTCAGGCTAACCGTGGGAGGTTCTCGTGATTTTCCTCTCCATGTAACGCAAATGCAGGTTAGTTCCACCAAAGAGTACTCTATGAAGGCAAATTTTTCCCTATACTTCATCCAGGAGTTCTCTTGTCTTTTGGACTGGGTTCAAAATGACAGGGCTACGAAGTTGAACATTAGCAGTCGTAAACCCAAAAAATTGTGTCGGCTGTTCAACGACGGTTATAAAATGAAATAAAATTGTATGTTTCTTTTTCTTTTCTAGAAGAGGGAAATGAAGAATGGTGTCACCTGTTAATGACATGTATCAACTATTATGATACACCTGAAGTATGTATTTTTTTTAACTCTTTCTCTATTTAACCAACCATTCTAATGACACATTTTATGTTTACACTAAATTCTGTGGCAATTTTTAAATTTTGTCTCGAACGTTTACTATCGAAACAGGATTTTTGGTAACATTTTGCTTTTATTTTATTGACAATGTTTTTTGTGGTAAAGGGGAAAAAATGACGATTATACGAATATTACATCTGAATTCGAATTTATTAATTTAAATAAAAAATTTTTTGAGATAAAATAAAACAAAATAAGTTATTACCTCATAAGAGAACTGAAAGTATTACCGCAACAGGATTAAACCGAAAAATAGTAACGAAAAAAAAAACATAATAAATATCAAAAAGGAAAAACTCTAATAAGAGACTAATATGGAGGCATTGATATACATGTCAGCTGTGTCAGGAGGGCATTACCACGCAGTCAGTGCTGAAGCAGTTTCTTCTGTTGGTGGTAAATTACAGCAAACGAGAAAAACAAAAGAATCCAACAGCAGGTTAGACGTGGACTATATACCGTAATCTTGAAAATCGAAATGGAAGTGCATAAATTACCAGATGGACAACGCAGCATCAGGGACTAATATACTGCCTTTATATCCATGCGCAGTATATATCTATATTTATTTCGAATATAGCTCTTTTCTTTAAGTTAAATTAATTGAGGATAAGTTGTAAGTACATAGAACTCATAATATAAATAAATATAAGTAGAAAACAAAGATAGAAGTAAAGTAAGGAAGAAAAAAAAAGATTTTACAACGGATAAAAATTTTTTATTATAAATTATTAAAAAAAAATATTTGATAAAAAAAGTTAAAGTTAGAAAAATAACAACGAAAAGGTATAATCTTGTCATCAGCTCAGACGATTATAGTCTCAAAAATAGTGCTTTCTAATATTGTGCAAACATACTTTTTAACAAACACTAAATTGTTTCTTTTAGATTCCATATTAAAAATTTTGGATCAAAGACTTTATTTACGCTTAAATTTCATGTTTTATAATCTGGTAAATTGGTTATGAAAATATTTTAAAATCATCTTTGTACGTTATTTCTAAATACACGACATCTGTTCGCCCTTCTTGTTTTATATGCTGCTATTTGTGTTTTATTTTGTCTTTTTCTTGGATTTTTTACTTTTGATTTTTATCTACGAATCGACTTTCCTTAATGTTAGGTGATCCTAGCACTATTGTATTGATATATTTTGTTTTAACTAAAAATTTTCTTTGGCTAATACAATATTAAAAAGCACTGTTTTTGCGGATGTAATCGTGTGAGCTGATGATCAGATATTTTTTGTTGTTATTTTTAAACTATACACAACTTCGGCGATTAACGCTGTCGAGGAAATATGAGATCGTTTTTAATGGGTCGCGCTTTGGTCACAAGTGTATTATGAACAATCATCTTCTAATAGGCGACCCTGCACCAGACCGTTCTATTTCACTGTTTTTGTTCGTAGTAACATTTAACTCTTAAGCACATTCTAAGACAATACCGGAAATTTAAATTTCAAAGACAACGCTATTTTGGCTGCTATTATCCTACTTTGAATTTACTCATTGCTAATACACCTAACGTTTTATCTTTTATTTTGTTTGAAGAATTATGGATTTCTTAATTTGATTTAGTATGGACATAAAAAGTTGTTAAATAGATCAAGGGGGATTGATTATAAAATGTAGACTTGATTATCTGTCATTTATATCAATGATGTCAAATTATAGACAGTTTCGGCTTTTGCTCCAAATTGCAAATTAAACAAGTAAAATGAAAAAAACAAACATTGGTTTTGTCCCAATGTCCGAACTTAAAATTCAAGAGATGTCGATTATTGTAATTATTGTTTTTATGATTTGTCTCTTCATCGAAAACTCAATAATCCTATTTTCTATCGGATTCGTATAATTCTCTTAATTTTCGGACCTTTGGCACCCGAAGCTTTATAAATATCAATTATTTTGAACTAAATTCATTTTAGAGGTGTTTTCTTTTCTTCAAATATTCTGATTTCTAATAAATGTGTGACAATTCCATTTCAGATGACAGACATTACAAAGTCCTGCTATAACGACTACGACAAAGGAGTCAACAACACTGATCGCTACATTAAATACACATGCGAGCACGAGTCTTCAGAAAATTTAGAGGTAAAAACTTTTTTTTTCATGCTCTATGTGGGGGCAAAATAATAGAAATTATTATATTTACATAAAATTGCATATATTCGAGACAATTATCCAAACTTTAAACTTCAGTCAGATCTTAACAGAAGAAATTCCTCTTTATCGATACAGTACGTAAAGCAACTGCAGATAAATATGGATTCCCGATTCTATGTACTGTCTGACCATGCAATTGACACAGATTCTACATTAATTCTAACACAGATGATAAAAGGTTTTTTTTTTAAATATTTTTTTCTCCTGTGGTTAGTGCCATCAAACCACATATTCAGTTCAACTTTTAAGTGCGCCATTATGCCTAAAAATATAAAATTCGTTAAAAAAAGTAGTGGGTCATCGGTGAGCTTTTTGTTCAGGACATAGCTCAAAATACATATTTGAAAAAAATGGATATAGCAAAAAAGGCATCTTTTTTAAAGTTTAACCTAAATTTAACAACTAAACGGATAATTTTTGCGCTTACTTTTCCTTACTTATTTGTTCACTAAGCATAAATAGTCCCCTATTTCGGAGTTGGGATAGCTGGGTGTTATGTAAGTGTTCAGACGATCTCTTCGTATTCAGATCTTTGGACGACAAAAGTAGTTTTAAAAATGTATTAAAAGAATTCTGTTAACATAAATTTACCATCACATTTACAGGATACATATAGCACTATTTTAAAAACTTTTACTTTTAAAATACTAAAAGAACCTAATTTAATAAAATATAGATTAGAGATTTACACAAACGGACGCTAACACATGATGACGAATATATTTAAATTCATTAGTTTATTCCTCAAAACAAAAATGCTCGTAAAATAAAAACTGGTTCAAATGCTCATTTTTAGAATACATATTTTGAGTCGTGTCCGCATAGATAGTTTTTGTGCCAATAAACACTTGATTCATTAAAAGCTTTAATAATGTATCTGGGCTTAATATTGAGATTCTGGGACAACTCATCAGTTTCTATCATTCCCATTCTAAAACCTATTCCTGGAAAAGTAAACTAGATTTTTCAGATTAGATAAGTATAACTAACTAGGGTGATAAATAATTGAGAGGTATGACGTTTCGTAAATAGTTATCTGTTTTAGTATTTAATCGATTGGTAACATTTATGTATCGATGGTATATCGATTGGTTAACATTGTAATGCAATACGTTAAAAATAAATACAAATTGGAATTATATAAAAGATCTGAATAAAAAACCCCATTACATATATGTTTAAATTTAAGAGTTATTGCCTATAAACTCGTGCAAAACCAAGCAATTATTAAAACACTACAGTACGTCGAATAATTGGGTCTAATTATTATAGTATACTAATGTAATGCCTGATATAATAAATATTCTATATATTTATATAATATATCTTCTAATTTAATCAATTGTCGAATTTATATTATATATCTACTCATTTCACCAATTTATACGCGAACGTAAACATGGGCAAACCGAGTGTAAACAATAAAGCCGTATAGAATCATCTGATAATTAAGATTTTACATAGAATCTTATAGAGCGTCTAATAATTTGACTGTAGCTTTCGGCAAGGATTCATAAGGCCAGAGAGGTCCAGGTCTCAACTTGACTCATTGTTGCCAATATATTTTTTGTGTATTTTTCCTTGAGATTGTCGGTTTGAATCATCAGATAGCAAAGTTTGAAATAAATACAAGCACGCATTTACAAATATAGTATATGCTTATGTTATAAAAAGTTTAAAAGCATTGCGTAAATAAACGATAAGTAAATTTAAAGACCCATGGAACGCCCCCCCCCAAAAAAAAAAACTTCTGTATCTAGGGCTTAGAGGAGATTTAGGGTCACTGGATTTCTGAATCAGATCTTGGTTTTCGATGTCAGTGAGGTGAATGTTGTAGAATGTTTCATTTATAGTGTCAGTCATTGCTGTTTAAATTGAAATATTCCTTTGGGCATATTTCAATATTACCTTATATTGTTTCTGTACCAATTGATCAATGTTTAATGTTTTTTTTAAATTTTTTTATTATGACTCAAATTTATGACTCATTTCAAGAATTTTTCATGACTTAACGAAGTTACTATTTTCTCCGATAAACACACAACAATACATTTAAAACAGAATTACAATAACATTTATTGAAATGATAGGTATAACCAAAACTGTTTTACTCTGCCTCTTCATTTTTATTAATTTTAAATTTAAAAAACAGAGTAAAAGAGTTAAAGCTGAAAAAATACAAAAGCAAAGAATTTCTTTTCTTCTTTTTTTCTGCAGAATTATATTTTAAAGATACTTTTCTTGTTTATCGGAAAAGAAAGAAAGACTCCCGATTTTTCTGCTCTCATTTCGGAATAAATAAAAAAAAAATTCGCAAATGACTGACTTGCTTCAGCTAGAATTTGAAACTGATAAAATCAAAAATTAAATAAATAATAACAAAAATTCTGAAATCACAGAAGTTTAAAAGATAATTCGCTCAAGAAATGATGTTTTTTCTCTTTCATTTTTTTAAAGAACACTGTAACTTTTTAAAGAACATGATAAACACATTTTATATCTTAATAAAATATGACTGTGAGAGGGGATTTTGTTACAAATTCAGACATTTCATTTTAAAAATTAGATTTTTCGGCAACCTAAATCCATGATTTATTTTAAAAAATAGTTAAAATCATATGACATTTCATGACAAATTTTGTTTAATACCGAAATTCATGACTTTCCATGAGTTCTTATGACTTTCCAGGAGGTGAATTTTTATATATTTTTTTATATATTTTTTTATTTATTTATGAAAATAAGTGTTGTATGCATTTCGTCTTTCGACCTGTAAAAAACGTGCTGTTTGTCCCAGCATTTGAATCTGTGTCATTGAACTCGCCATTCAATTCGTTTTCCAGTTGAAGCTTAACCATTACAAAAAAGAAACTTTTAATTATTATTACAGGTTTCTTTAAAAATATATTTTAACTAAAATGTTTTTATTTTTTTTTAGCTTGTTCGTTGCTTTAATGAGAAGCTTTCCAATTCTGAAAACGTAAGTAATAATTTCATCGATAATTTGTTAAAACATGCTATTTTTAAAATTTTTGAAAAATTTTGGAATTTTTAATATTTGAATTCTTATTCGTTTTAGGGTGAGGACTGGAAAAAACGAATTCAGGACAGTGCGGTAAGTGTGCAAACAACAAAGTTACATTAAAAAAAAAACTATTGTTACTATTCGTTTTTAAAAGCCGAAATGACCACTCTTGATCGATTATTCTATTTCGTCACGGAATAATATATCTAGATGTACCCTTTCTAGAATTTTTAGACGTGGTTCGAATCTTTGTTGTCTCTTCCGATTTTAGTGGAAATTTATTTCTATCTTTCGATTCAGTATTAATGTGAATGGCCGCGTAAGTATTTATTCTTCGCGAGGCACAGTTAACACTAAAGGTAGCTTTCCAGAGTTATACTAAGAATATTTTATGCAAAGCGGAATAATCCCAGAAAACATGTAAACCTTACGGCAACCTTGTATCAGAATTTTCTTTTTAGTGTCAAGAAAATGTTTGTGCAAAAAAAGAAAACCTTTTTTTCAATGAAGCGAAAATAGTGTAGTTTCAAACCTTTCATCCTAAAAGGATAAAAAAACTATTTTTTTGAAAGCTTTTTTAAAAAGTATTTTTTTTTATTTATTATAAACTGCTTTAAAACTGTTTGCTTGGGGTGTCTTTTTTTACCACATTTAATTTCAAAGATTCATCAGAAGTTGATAACTTCATTTGGAGTGTTACCGAAGTTTAGTGGCATTAATACAAATGTGTTCAAATTGTGGAACAAAAACTAGAATCAGCATCAAACTTGAAATCAAAATACCTTTAATATATTTTTTGGTCAATATGTACAGTTTTTTTGATTGCTTGATCTCAGATGAACCCTTTTATTTCAAAAGTTGCCATTAAATCATCCGTAGAGTCCTTTTCAACAAAGAAAATTTCATTTTAAATTGAATAGAAAATGTATTTTACTATGATTTATCCAAAAAATTGACAAGCACTCTTTTAATTTTTCAGGAATGCCATGATTCCGTGGTAGAGAAATATAATAACAAAACACAAGAACTGAAGAAGGAAGATTAATATATTCAAATGAAATAATAGAATTATTTTTGTTGCAGCAAATCGTGCATCTATTTATCACCATTATTTCACATGATTGTTATTTTAATATTTAAATTTGATATAATGTTTGTCATTGATTTAATGTGTTTTAAGCATTGCTAAACACACAATGGTTGAAAAGAATCGATCGCTGTAACTGTTGATACTGTAATAAAGTAATTCTAGAATAAAGTATTTTTTTCAGTTTTGAAATAATTTTACTATCTGAACTTTAATCCAGCTTTAACGTGGTAACCCTGATATTAGATGAATTGCTTCAGTTTTAACATAGTCATTTTAATTCTTAGATTTAGAAAAGTTTTAATAAACAGGTCACGTATTGGAACACTTTTACTGAATGTAGCAGCTCTTCTTTGCAGAGGAACCTAATAATAAAACAGTGTTTAAATGTAAAGCTCAAGAGACATTTCAATTATCCCATTTATGATTTTTAATTGATAACAATCCGCCTTGTGCTACTAAACCCAACACTCAATGCCTCTCAGTGGTCTACTTCTGTCTTGTCCATACCTTTTTCTGACATAAAACTCTCTACGTGTTCAAAAATTTCTGACATCATTATGGCAACAACAATGGAATTTGAAAGTTTTTAAAAAACTGCATAGCATTAAATACAATTTGGGCCATTTGCCAGCACTGCGCTTGCGAAGAGCAAACGTAAAATTAATTCGTTTTCGAATCGGTCACATCCGGTGGATACACCTTCAATTGTTGCTTCGAGAACGATTTGAATTTTAATGCAGCTTGCTTTATTTTTATTAAATTCGATTAAGAAATACTTTATCGACAATGCAATTGAGTGGATTTTTAGTGTTTAGTTTCTGATGAAGGAATTGTCCCGCAGTGGACTGATCGTTAGGANCAGCAGATCACCGAAGTCAAGCATCACTGACTGCGGTCAGTGTGCGGGTGGGTGCCCACTTGGATCAGTCTGCGTAGGGACCGAGGGTGTGCGGTATTGGTCCTCGTTAAACTGTGCTACCGTAAAGTGCTCGACTTCGCGCGCAGGTCGTCGGGCTACCGAAGCGGGGGTGCCATCCCCTCCGCAGAGGATCAAAATTGTTATGGCATGTCTTCGGATCATCCTCCGGGATGTTTCCCAGGTCGTCGCCGATAGCCCATTGTGCAGCTCTAGTGCGACGTAAATTAACAACAACAACAACTGATGAAGGAATTGATATTAAATTTTTCGCTGTTGATCAAGTGGAGTTAGAAAGAAAGAAAAACTACAAATGCATGCTTTAAACACTCAATTTAAAATGACTACCTCTATACATAAAAAAAATTATACATAAGAATTATACATAAAGCGACCTTTTAAGTTCTGAAAGAAATATAAAAGCAAAAAGAAAGATTTATATTCCTACAATTTTAATAAATTTGGATTCGCAGCTCTGATTAAGTGGTTTAATTTAGTTATTTTAATTTTAGCCAAATTGTCTAAATTTTAATATAATTACATTGATTATAGTCAAGTTTTAATCTTGGTATAATTTATGACAGTTTAATAGAATTAATCCTAACTTTATAACAATCGCTTACTTTGATACATTCAAATTTATTTCTCTACATTGGATTACGTAATTTGATCTAGTTCTGATTTTAAGATCGAGTTGTTTAAATTTTAATCTAGTTTCTAAACTAAACTAAACTAAACTCAGTGGCACGACAGCCAATAGAGGGCCTACTGTGTCCATCTCAGTTTTCTTGACCTTTGGGCACTGGGGTGCAAGAGCAGATGTTCCGGTTGGATGGTCAGCCCAACGCCGAATCCCCAGTGCTTAGTTCCCAAGCTTGCTTGGTACTCATTTTATCAGCCTTTCATCATTGAAGGGATGAGTCAACCTTGCCTGGCCAGATCATCGAACCAAGGACCTGTGGCACGACACAGCCACCGGTCGTTTCAGGTACGGTAATCTAGTTTCAGGTAGCTAAAAACTCTTTCGTCACAATTTATACTAAAGATTTCGCTAATTTGGGAATTCCATATTTAATTATTTAGGTAATAATAAAAAAGTTATTTTACTGTAGAGATTTGACCCACGCAGAAAAAAAATTAAACGGAACGTTTTAGAAGTTTCCGTGAGATGAACTCATCGCATTTGAGGTTCTTTAAATGAAAAATATTATTCTAACCATTTATTGTTAACAGCATCAGAGTGAAAAATTCTAGATCAAATCACGACACTTAGTGTGATTGTATATATTATAGTTAAATTTTACCTAACAAAAAATCTTATACCTTGTAATTTTTACTGTAAAATCACTCAATCAAAGTAATTAAATAAATATTACTGCAAAAACTGCAGTATAAAATGGATTTTATGGTAAAATTTCATTGATGTTGCTCCCAGGGTGCCAGGACTTTTTACCGTAATTTGATCTGCAATTCTTACAGCATGCTCATATTTTCTAAGTATCGTTGACGCAGAAAAATTATTAATGCTTCAAGTAACAAATTGTTTTTATACTAATTTTATTCCTAATCGTTACGATTGAAGATTAAAATTAATATTTTGTTCTCTTGCCTATAGCGACAAGAGTTGTACAATTTGACCCCCTCGAAGATTTCATCAGAATTAATGCTTCAATCTGTGAGGCACAACTTTTAAATGAATGTCCTACTTAAACAGTTTTCGTAAACAATAGGTTTTAACTCATCCATTATGTTTGATTAAGCGCCCTGTTTAGTAAAGGTTAATGAAGGACCCGTTAAGTATTTGTCAAAATTCCTTTAACTAATAGGTGGCTTATTTTTAATTAAGTTGTTTTGAAGAGCAATTAATGATTTTTCAATGCTTTATTTGTATTTTAATAAGCTATGCATTAGGAGATAATATGAATTATTTTGTTCCGTAACGTTTCGTTACAAGCATAAAGACTATTGGGTTAAAAACTGTAGTATTTCATCAGAAAAAGTCTTAGTATTGTAGCAAAAAAATGGCTTGTGTAGCAAAAAAATGATTAAAAACCGTAATTTAAGTTGCTGACGAAAATGGCAACGGACATAAGTTAGAGCAATTTTTTATTTATTTTTTATATTCGTCGTTAAACAGCCGACCCAAATTTGGGTTTACGACTACTAACGTTCAACTCTGTTGCCTTGTCATTTTGAGTCAATGCAGAAGACAAGGAAATTTCTAGACTTCCAGAGGTATTGATTTGTTATGGGAACATGGAGGACTTTGAGACTCGACAGATTTAACGCGCATCAGTCACCATTTACCACACGGTGGCCGAACCCACGACCTCTTGAACATGGACCCAGTGTCCTACTAACCTGGCTATCCCGACTCTATTGAAAACTACTGCCGTAAAAAAAGTAAGATTCGCGGTTACCATGATAACGCAAAGGGGAAAATGTGGGGAGTAGAGAAATCGTATGAACTAGAGACGCTTATATTTAAATTACAAACAATAATAATAGTATTTTACAGTACATTCATTACAGTTTTGTAAACCGTTCGGTGTCTTTACATTATCAGATGTAAAGTAATTTGATTCATAAGAAATCCTCTAAAGGAAAAATCCTAAAGAAATCCTCTAAAGACTCCTCTGAAGAAAAATGAAATTTATTTAGTATTATTAAAACAATGCTAGTCAAGATTTATCACAATCAAAATGTTCTGATGAATCAGCATTTAGCACACAAATTAAATTTTTCTTTTATTCACGTGTTTTTTTTTTAAATCAATAGTAACTTGATATAATTTTAGTTAATAAAAATGAGTTTTAAAAGCGTTAATATCAACAAGCGAAAGCGTTTGTACTTGTACTTTTAAGAATGCTTATTATTCGATAATGTAACACATCACAAAATGAAATGATTCATATTAATTATATTTTTTCTAAGCGGACTTAGAGAATGAGACAGTTAAATAATTAAAAAAACAACCTGCTATAAATTACTTATGAAACTCTTTTTTGATTCAATAAAGCTGAAAGTCGGAAAAATATATTTACTTAAACCTACGGAAAACTATTTTGTTTCTTCTTTACAGTGGATAATATTCCACAAACTGGTGGTTTGAGAGAGGTATAAGTCAGAAAGTGTCGAACGACGCAACGCGTTCTCGAACAAACGTATATCAAATTTGCTGCGAATCTTTTGAGGATCGCCCATTTGTATTTACAAGAAAAAGCAAGGTATAAATCTGCTCTAATAGAAAATTTATTTTGCCCCTGTGTGCATTAACAGCAGATCACCGAAGTCAAGCATCACTGTCTGCGGTCAGTGTGCAGGTGGGTGAACAGATGGATCAGTCTGCGAAGGGACCGAGGGTGTGCGGTATGGGTCCTCGTTAAACTGTTCCATCGTAAAGTGCTCGCTCGACTTCGTGTGCAGGTCGTCGGGTTACCGATGCGGGGGCGCCATCCCCTCAGCGGAGGATCAAAATTACGATGGCATGTCCTCGGATCATCCTCGGGAATGTTTCCCAAACCGTCGCCAATAGCCCATTGTGCAACTCTAGTGCGACGAATTCTAGATGGATATTTTTGTGTAAGAAAAAGTGACAAAAACTAAATGTTTCGGTAAGTAGCTTATATTACATTTCGATAGCTTTACTTCATTTCTAATTAACTGTTAGTTTTTACCCAGAAAAATGTTAGTTGAAGCATCTAGAAATCAGCTAAAATTTATATTTATTTTTGCATTATTCTAAATACTTTAAATTTCTGAATGAAGCATATTATGCGAATCAAGTACCTGATTTCGGGCGTTAATGGAAGACTTTAACACATCTTAAAATTTTGCAGCATGTCAACGTATTTATGTACTTTTTTTTTAATTTTCTGTACATGCTATATTCTTTGATAATATGCGTCTCAAAATCACATGATTTTCCTCTCTTGTTACCATGGTAACGAAAACTTCCCCCTATAAAACTTCCTTCCTCCTTAAAATTATAATTTACACTATACCTCACTCCACAATTCAAAACTATAGCAAAAGGTCTTATAGGCCTTACTACTTCGCACAACGTAAATTTATTTTATTTACTTATTCACAAGTATATGCAGGCTTGAGTGCTATATGCAAAGACTCACCTCAAATAGGAGAACAGATACCACAAACGATAAAGTGACAGCACAACGATATACCCAAAGGTGAATGCCAACCTGGCTGAGCAGTTTCATCCACCAAACGCTGTTAAATGCGTTGAGGTAGCGGGTTCGAATCCCGCTGTTAC